ATGACTCGTCCGCGCCCCCGACGAGTCCTTCCTCGCCGAGCTCGAAGCCGAGGAAGCCGACAAAAGGCAAGAGGAATCAACCCGTCGACCGGCCCATGGTCTTCCGCGCCGACGACAAGTGGACCGTGGAGTACGAGCTGAGCGAGTTGCAGGGCAAGCAGGTGAGCAGGCTTTACAATGCCTGCCAGACACGTCGGGAGAAGGCCCTGTCAGGCCGCGGGGAGGACGAGGCGGACGCGGCCTCTAACGTCTATATCCGACGACTGCGCGATCTGGCCATGAAGGGGCGTGCCTACCGCGCCAAGCAGGATGATTTTGACAGCAAGCATGGCACGGTTGTCCTGGATGAGGATGTATAATCGTCTGGCATGATTGTACCCGGGGAAGTTCCGGTGAATGTATATTAATATCCCGCATAGGTTTTGCTTTTTTTTATTGGGGTGGGTTGTACAATACGCTTTTGGTTTACGTTTATTGGCCATAGAGTCGGAATTACGAATGTTGAATTTATGATCTATGTATGTTGGCGCAGTGCCAAGACCTCGGGATATTGAGTCGGTAAATGGGGATATCGAGCGTCGGTAGATAGCGTCGGTAGATGGGGATATCAAGCGTCGGTAGATGGGGATATCAAGTCGGTAGTTGGGGATTGAGGCGTCCGTATTTGATATTCATGCTCACAATCTCTACTGAATTCACTACATCTATATTCCACTATGATGTTGAACCTCATTCCCCAAGTCGACTCACGATCTACCCTGGCGCGAATCACCTTACCTCTATATATACCCCCCACCTAGTAGTATACCCACAACCCCCAATATCAACCTACACACATGCATGCATATGACATACATCAAACCTCATTCCCACTCAAGCAGCGCAAACGCAGCAGCATAGTGCATGCAGTCCAGCCCAATACATCATACATAGCATAATACATGCAGTAGCGCGACTGCTTCTCTACCTACGCGCCATGCACACCTCGCAGACCAATGTATAATGTATCAAGCTATCGTTCATCCTTCGCATATATGTATGTGAGCGGTTATCTGTGCTTCTGCTTGCATAATGCATATATTCGGGCTGGATGTGTCGGTCTGGCTTATGCCGCTGCGTTGATGTGTGGGTTGTCATTGCTGGGACCTGCTTAGTTGACTGACTGCCTTGTTTGTTTTGACCTGCAATGCCTCGAATTTCATTTTTATATAGATTTTAGAAGTTATGAATGTGCTGTTGGATTACTTGATTGAAATTCTTCCATTCATAACTATATATATATATATTATATATCATAGTAAAATGGGTTCTTCTTTGGTTCTGAGACTACTGATTATATGACACTGTATTTCAGATGTCTATATTAGTTTGTTACTGGCTTGTATCATCTCATAGTTTGGGGCAGATAATTAGAATTAATCAAGCGCTTGAGATGCATCATCACGCTGGAATCATAGCGCATGCACACGCCCATTATATCCACACTCACATCCACATAAATAGATATTCATCACATATTCATCATCATCATAATAATAAACCAATCCCATCTACAAAGAATACACAAACTCATGATTCTCCCTATCCGTCAGATCCAACACTCCTGGTTCTCCATGCGGACATAGTCCGCGCAGCTCGCTTCAGCGCCTTCTTCTTGTTCTCGCGGTCATACCACCACCAGATGAAGGCCATGATCATCAGGCAGACGCCCCAGCAGACGATGAGGGTGATTTCGGCGGGCACGTAGCGGGGGGGTCTTCGGGGCGGAAAGCTTGGGACCTTTTGTGCTTGTTAGACTTATTCCTTGCTTGCCCCTTGTTGTTCTCGTTCTTTCAGTTGGGATGGGAATCAAGAATGAATGGCTTACCAATGATATTGCCCGCGCAGTATCCGATCAGGTATAAAGCTGCTACTGTGGTTTTCTTGGTGTATCCCGCGACGTTGGAGGAGATGAGCGCGAGCAGGGCGACGAATGGTGTTGGGCTAGCTTGCGTCATGTAGTAGCCGATGAGACGGCCGACGTTGTTGCTTAGGGGCAGAGCCACGATGAGGACCATGCCGACGATGGAGGCTACCAGCCCGCCCATGCTGCACAGGATGCGCTGGCCCGTGTATTGCCCGATGTATCCGCTGAGTAGCAGGGCGACGATCTCGACTGCGCCGCCCGGGTGCCGTAGAGTAAGCTTGCTCTTCTGTATAACCGAAACTGGTGATCTGGACGAGTGTTAGGATTGCATCTGAGGCAGGGTGAAAAGCTAGCTATCATGGTGGAGGGAGGTTGTATATGGAAATAGAAGGGTGACTGACCAGTTGATTAAAAAAATTCGTGATACCACCATTAGGAATATTAGCGATGATAGCGAAAAAGAAAAAAGCCCAAGTCATCGGATCCATAAGAGTCTCCACAATCTGGTACTTCTTGTAATGCTTATTCCCAATACCCTGCTGGTTGACTCGCACGCGGGCAATCGCCAGCAGCCGGTCCTCCTTCTTGAGCCACCGCGCATTCAGCTGGCTGTCAGGGACAACCCAGAGGAAGATCAGTCCCAGCGCGACGGTCAGGAAACCGGTGACGAGGAAGACGATCTTCCAGGGGTCGATGGCCGATCCGTGGATGCGGGTTCCCACCGCGATCCCGTACGCTACGAGACCTCCGAAGATCTGGCCCCAGCCGTTGAAGCTGAACCAGATGTTACCCGGCTGCTGTGTTCGGATTTGGTGTACCACTGCGGTGGGCTGTTAGAAGATGGTTGCGCTGGGACGTGGGGGTGGGGCTCACCTGAGCGGTTAACAGTGCGAAGCCTGGGGTGACAGAAGCCTCGAAGACTCCGAGGAAGAAGCTGCAAAATTAGTTAACCTATATACCAGCTTCGCGTCAAGAAAAGAGTCTCACCGGATCGCAACGCCGCAGAGAAGTTCGTGACGCCAGCGAAACAGCAGAGAATGGAGCCCCAGATAATAATACACGCGGCGGAATATTTGCCTAGCGGAAGCATCTGCAGCAGCCGGCTGGTCGGATATTCCCAAGCCAAATACCCTAGAAATTTATCATTAGGTACACGCGACGCCATGGAGTCCGCGAGTGGTCACCAACCGAAGTAGAACAAACTGGCCAGCCACTGATACTGGTCGTGCTTCAACGACAGGTCCTCCTTGATTCCATCACACTGCGTATGAGAGTGTGGTTTCTGTTATTTCCGCTGGTTAACATCCCATCCGGGCAATAGCGTCGCTTTGGAAGAGAAGCAACATACTGTCTAGATAGTTCATGCCGTAAACGACACACATGATGGGCATCATGTGCCAGTCGATCCTCCTTAGAAGACGCTTGTTGTCGCCTCGTCTAGCTCGATCGCCTCGCCCTGCAGGTCCTGAATGGCCTGCATGGCCTCATCTGCATCGTGGAATGCTTCTCCAAGGTGGGGTCGACATGCTTCTCCGCTTCCACCGTGGACGGCGGCGCGCTTTCTCGTCGGCCATGGCGGGCAAACAACTAGCGGAACAAGCAGAAAAACACTAGACAAGCCACAAGTTGGAGAAGAGAAAAAGAGGATTGAAAGGAACGAAGGATTCAGAAGGAGGGAGGCACCCGATTTATCAACTGCCAGATCGATATCCGATTAAGCGTCACCGCAACTTCCCCTCACGGGCACGAGCGAAATGCACCACGCAAGGGCGGAAACCTTTGAACAAACCAGGATAACAGCAACGCATCTTCTCCTCTTCGGGGTTGTTATCTCGCAGCGTTGCAGCGCGCGATATCCGGGGTAGACCTAGTGTACTCCAGTCTCCACTCTTCGCCATCGGGCGAGTGGAGGCCGAGGGAAACCAAACCACGAGAGTTAGGAGGAGTGGGAAGCGGGAGGGATGGACGTTTCGCTCGGGGAAAGGATGCACGGTGGAAAGTCCATGGCTTGGAGATTGTTTGGCCGTCATTGATGGGCATTATCGGGGGGTTTGTTCATTGACAAATTCCGTTTCCTTTCTGGTCCGTTCTTTGTTGTGGCTCTTATCTTATCAAGTAACTATTCGCGCGCGTCATCTAGACCATGTGGATATATTGGGGTTCGGCTGGTTCGCTCTGCTAGTCTATGCGTTGTGGTAGTATCTCCTGGCTTATCTCCTGGCGAGAGAGAGGCCATTCTGTTCTCTTCGTCTTTTCGTCCACCTGTCATGACCAGTCCACTACCTCTTGCCGATATTGCATCTCCCCCCCTGGCCCGTCCGGTTCCGATATGAGAGGAGCGATGTCGTTCGGCGCTCCAGTCGTCGACGGCGAGACGAAGATGATGCGGGACTCGCGGGATGCGCTGCTCGGTCGGAGTCAGACAGACCCGCCTCTTCGATACCGACGACGGTCTCTCCGATCCGGACGCGCGCTGCGAATTCCAGAGCCCTTCCGCCGCGGACACTCCGACAGCAGTCGCAGGCAATGTCGCGGACTACAGGCTGGTGGCAGTGAGTGGCGACCCATTGCAGCGGCGCGAATGATGCCCGCATCCAGGAGAACAGTCGGTGTGATCGCCTGGCTCGCGGCGACGATCCTCCAACCGTAGAAGCTTTTCGACCATCGAAGAATGGGGTTGAACCGGTCGGCTCCCGCTCGTCAGCGCGGAACTGGATCAAGGTGGACCCCACCGATGTAAATTCTCGAGCGAAGTGGCATCGATGCGCAGAGCTAGCACCGACCGTGGTCAGCCGCCATCCCTGCTTGTCCGCAGAAACCGATCGAGCGCGCCTGACCACGCCTGGAATTCCCGGACCTGTGCAGCGAGTTTCGCCTGTAATTCCTCGACCATTGCGCGAAACCCGGGGTCCCAGGTGGACGGCTTGGCTCCGGCCCCGGGGCGCGTGTTCAAGGCGGGAGCGGCGCAGATGCTCTGGTTCATGAGGAGGGTCAGACGGCGACGTGCTTCACCCAGGTCGGTGAAGGCGAAGGGCATGGCATGCCCGGCTCCAATGCTCGTCACGTGGGGTCTCATGCCGCGGTTGAAGCTCGCCAGGTCCATGTGGAACCGCGCGAAGAGGTCGCACAACTCGCGATTGATGGTATCGACGTCAGCGGTCGGCTGCGGTACGTCCAGTCGGTCGCTTTGCTGTGAGATCAGCTTCAGCCCGGAGTCAACATGGTCGAGCGCCTGGTCGTAGTTCGCCCGAAGCATCTCGAGGCAGACGAACAGACTACAGCCGAGGAGCGTCAGGTAAGACTGCCGTGCGCCGTTGGGCTCACCCGCGGGCGGGCCGGCGGAGACAAAAGGCTACGAATAGCCAAGTTGTACTGTCGATGAAGTCCTCCTCTCTGGCCCCCCTATATCGGAGCGACCGCATGGCGCACCAGGGGCTCGACTGAGCTGGGGAAGCAGGCGGGTCCAGAAATCGGAGCCGGCCAACGCTTGCGACGTGTGGATGCAGAACACCGCACATGCTCGCGCTCCGGGACTGTCCCGGGGTAGAGATGATACGTTTGGGGCTGGGCCGTCTTTGGACGTTTCCCGCGAGGATCTTATCCCGGAGCTGCCTCTGAGACAAGTCGGAGTCGTATCCGTCGCATTTGCGGCCGGTCCTCGTGCATTGCCCGCAGGCCGGGCGAGCTTGGTCACATCGCACATGACGGATCCTGAGCTGGTCAGCGTCTGTCTAGCTAATGGTCCCAGCCGAGATACGAGAGGATAACCTACTTGCAAGTGATGCATCCATCGCGTGACCGCGGTTTGTCTGCTCTCCGTTGTTGCATAGTGAGGATTTCTTCGTCAGCTGTCGCGACAGGAGATGTAGTCGCGAGTGATGATTGATAGAGGCGTAACGAATGAATCACTAACAGCGAGGTACCAGGAATCCATCAACAGCGGTAGTCCAGGGTGGATTAAATACCATGGATCGAGGCCGTTGTGGGCCCCATGCCTAGCACGGCAGCTATTGTCGACAAAGACTCATGGCCAGAACAGTATAGACAGGGCTGAACGGTGACAAGACAATAGTGCTTCAGCCTAGACAATCCTAATCCCGGTTGTAAGCGATAATTATAGTAGTAGCCGTGATCACTTAGTCGTCGATCATGCATCGCCCCAGGTTCTCCAAAGGAAGCACAGCCTCGAACTAGCTAGCTCCTGTGAATCATCCGCGACAGGAACCTATCCGGTGTCGAATTGGGCCCAGACATCTTTTGGATTGATCATCTTTGGGGAGGTATTCGCAAGAAGGCTCCTGTCCCTGAGTCATGAAGAGAGGCGCCATCTGCCTAATCCTAGTGTCAGCCTCGTGGGTACACGCCACGAGGAGCGCTCTTTCAATAGAAACAGTCTGACAATTTCCACAATGGCAAGGGTTAACAGTTAGAGTGCCTATATCCTTGGTTAGCGTGTATCCTTCCACTTCCTCGGAGACTGAGGCTGCTCACCAACCACGTGGAGTGAAGCTTGATTCAACTGTATCCCAGTATGCAGCGTCCAATCATCGGATACTCCGGTTGTTGGATCTGCATGGGTATAGCCCGGTAGACTCTGGAATTGCTGGTCAGAATAGTAGACACAGAATATGACGCAACCAGCAACACGATGGTTGATCAAGAGAAGAAATGGAATGGAATACCTTAAGCACTATCATCACGGTGTCCGAAACTATGCGCACAGCCTCGTTTATGCCCACACCACGCGAACGCCACGAATTACTACACCATGGATGGAAATAACTATTGCTACTTGATAGAGCCCCAGTGACAGGCATGTAGTATAGATTACTCGGCAGTCAGTTGCCCCCACACGGGCCATGTACGCCTCCACCCTTCCTTCTGGTACCGCTGCGCCGCCTCGACCGGATCCGGCGCAGCGTAGATGCCCCGTCCCGCGATAATGAAGTCCGCGCCGCGCCCAATCGCCGACTGCGGCGTCTGGTACTGCTGACCCAAACTGTCGCCCTTGGACGCGAGGTTCACGCCCGTGGTGAACACCACGAAATCCTCGTCCTCCGACGCGGAGGTCGCCTCCGACTGGACCTCGTTCAGCGCGCGCGTCGACACAAAGCCCATCACGAACCCTTTGTACTTGCGCGCGTAGTCCACCGATGCGGTCGTGTATGGCCCCGTCGCCAGCGATCCCTTGGAGGTCATCTCGGCGAGGATTAGGAGCCCGCGCTCTGGGCCGTAGGGGAAGTCCGCGGCGGAGGCTGTCTGCGCTAGAGCTTCTACGATGCCTTCGCCGGGTAGGACGGCGCAGTTGATGATGTGCGCCCATTCTGAGATGCGCAGCGCACCGTTGTGGTACTGCTTCTGGACGGTGTTGCCGATGTCGATGAACTTGCGGTCTTCGAAGATGAGGAAGTTGTGCTTCGCTGCCAGGGCGTTCAGTCCGTTGATGGTGGCGTCGCTGAAGTCGGAGAGGATGTCGATGTGCGTCTTGATTACAGCGATGTGGGGTCCAAGGCCTGTAGTAGCAATGCGTCGGGTTAGTACAATTCAATGCTGTCGTGCGAAACGAGAGAGATCAAGGTCTTTGGAGGGGGGGTTCGTACGGTCAGCCAGGTCCAGCAGCTCTTGGTCGTCGTCACATCGGCCGAGACGGTGACATTAGATTTCTTAGCCTCAGCAATCTCAAACAGACGTCGGGCAAGGGCATTGGGATGCTTGCTTGCCCTGGCCGTGTAGGTCAATTGCGACTTGGAGGACATCCTGATGCGGAATTGGAGGGGTAATGCGGGGTGACCGATGCGACGGGGGGAAAATCGTCCTGATCTGGCGGGGTCTTCAGGAATCGACCGAATTATTTGGTCAAGGGTGAAGATGAATGTGTCGGTGTTGAAAAGATGCTGTCCACCGAGAGAAATGCAGGTTGTTCATGGAGTGTCGGGAGAAATTCCTGGTCGCGACGGAGGATCCCCGAATCAGCCACATCCGGTTAGTCACACTGGTTCTCAGCTCTATACTCGGGGTGGTCAACACCTCTACAATGGCTTCTTTTTACTCCGAGGTATCATGAATAGTTGGAAAGGATGGTTGATAAAATGTATAGTCGGGCTTGTACTAAATTAGTCAAATCTGGTAATGTTGCTACGTTTACCATTGCACTAACCGCAATATATATATACAGTGTATAGTGCTACATCAGCAAGATTCAGAGATTCAATCATTCATGATATTCGTGATAAGCCAGCTATACTCTGGGTAATTACAGATTCTCAGGCATCTTCTACAATCCACTCCCCAATATCAACCCGTTCCTCGGACAAAGCCTCCACCTCAAAGTGATCTTCTACTTGTCCCCCAGGCCCACCGATCCGCTCGAGGACAATCCAAACGCCGCCTTGGTTTTCCAAACCCGATTGCAGATCGAAATCCGACACCCGCACTCCAGAGATGGCATCGCTATGATGACCATCCTCAGAGCTGGCGAGAATTTCTTTGTACGGCCCCTGGCCGAGTTCGACGGTCATGAGCACCGGCGACGGCCCAACGGGTGATTCCCAATCAGAGACTGTCGGCTCCTTGCGATGAGCTTGATCCGCGTAAGCCGCGGGACCCGCAAGGGCGCCAGCATGCGGTCGCTCCCCGGGGGTAAAATGCCAATGTCTGATATGCTCGCGCGCCGTCCGGCGGCTTCCGGGGCCAGGGGGTCCACTTTGCACGGGTACGAGGAGGAGATCCAGAGTGTAAATCGGCCGAGTTGGTCTGGGGCAAAGGTGGAACAAACTATGGTGTAGATGCCTTCGTCGAGTGTTCGTTTCTCAGCGAGACACCCGCCCCGGCGATAATCGCCGCTGTCCGTGATGATGTCGCGACTCCGAACCCTGGCTACGCGGTTGCCATTGGACCAGAATAATTTGATGTGTGTCGCGGTCTCCGTCTCGGGACATTCTAGCAAGAGGGAGACGTCGGTGGCGCTCGAGACCTTCATGGTAAATTGGGGATTCTGGGGATACCGAGGGGACTCGGCATTTCCGCCAGCCATCGAACCAGTCCATGACCCTGGACTTTGGTGACGTACTTGTATTTATTCTGCGCGGGCGCGATCTGCACGGGGGCTGTGGACAGAGCAGACAGCGTGAAGTTCTGATTCAGAGAGGGTAGGGATTGCTCCGAGATCACGGCAGTGTAGGTCGTGTTTGGGTGCATCTCCAGCCTCATGAGGGTATTGGGGGAATCGACATAAGGTCCTCGGTGGAGGGCTCCATCGCTCAGAGATACCCTTTTCCCTTCCGTGTTGAAGATGTAGATGCTGATGAATCCCGGTTCCTCATGCTCCACGGCGCCGTCCGGAGCGTCATCTCCATCTCCATGATGCTTGATTGTTTGAAAGTGCTTTCCAAGCAGCAGCCAGACAGTACCCCGCCTCTGGTGGACACCGAAAACTGCGGGTTCTTCACAAAGCAACCAGCAACGCCTCTGCCGCTCGTGAGATCCCAGGGGAAGTGGATATCCTCGCGATATCTGAACAGTCCCGGATTCCAATTCAGATACAGATTTTCGAAGTTCTGGAGAACTTTGTCGCAGTCCATCCAGAAAGACCCAGGAGCAAAAGACGGCTGGTTATGGGTCAGCTCAATGGAGTCAAGTGCGGTCTCAATGTCCCGATGGACCACGTCCGCTCCAGCCCACGGGTTCTTCACTAGCATCTGGCGACGCCCTTGGACTCCTTCAACTCCAGTATCGAGTAGTCGTGCTCACTCACGAGTCCGACTTCCGTTTGCTCTCCTCCGTCAGTTTACCGGTGCCAATGGTGAGCAGCACATCTCCGTGACAGAAAGATCGGTAAAGCCGCCGCCAGA